TCGTCTTTTTGCGTTTTCTTTATTTTTTGACTTCTTCGGGCTGATCCGTGTAAACAAAATTTCGCAATTCCGGTTGGCTGATTTACACAAAAAAGTCACGTGGGTACATGGCTTTAGACGACCCCCTTATAAGTCAAATTTTATTAAATAAGTCAATACTTATTAGGTAAAGTTATTTAGATATGAATTAAGCAACTCTTTATTTATTTTTTATGTCATAACGATAAAATATTGAGAACCAAACTAGGTTTAATTTAGGTTTATATATATATATATATATACTTGGATTTTTGGAATCTATAGGTTTTAAAATCTAAACCAAACCTAAACTAACTTTACCATCCCACATAGAGGTACCACTAAAAGTCCCTTGTAAGCTGGGGAGCAATCTACAAACAAAAGCAATTTAAATTAAAACTTTATATATGCGCATTATTAATTCGAAATATTCAAATTTTCACGTCCTCATTAGTCATTTGCTCTATTTTCATAATTGAATTTGGATTGTAATAACCTTTTCAAGATGATGAGCTTCCAGTCGTGGTAAAGTGGCTCCAGGATAATCCTTCTTAGCAACTATTGCCGCGCGACTAATTGCCTCTGTAAAAAAACATTTATGTAACAAATAAATAAATAAATAAATAAGTAAATTGTATATATAATATATTATACTTTTTAAAGAAGTTAATAAACTACGTGTGAATTACTGCCGTAAATAAATATATAAATATATATAAATACCATCAGCAAATAATCGCAAATATTCGGCTGAAAGAAGCAGTGCTTCTTTTCTTGCTATTTGAAGTCATCATCACTATGATTAATTAATCAAAAAACTTTGAATATGCATTATTAATTTTACCTTTAGTTTTACGTTTCTTCCACATGGTTTTGAAAATGTCGTTCAAGACTGTCTAAATTTATTATGGATAAGATTAACATAAATTTAATAACAAAATTTGTTTTCATGAAAAAAAAAAGAGTTATGATTTACTGTATCGAAAGTAATTGGTTCTTCAGAGCTCATTGAGAAATAAAATTAGCTTAATATCAAAATCTTAGAACGTCCACCAATGTATGTATTAATATGCTATGAACGTGTCGTGACTCGTGGCACACTTCCAAAAGAGGAATAAAGACTAGTTTTAAACAAAAATTAACGTTACGGACGTATCCAATAAATAACTATATTTAACACTTTATGAATTCAGGCTTGAAATGCATACCGGAATTCTGAATTCATCTTCACAGAATGGACTGTATTATCAGCCAACCTGCCAAAATAACACTCAAAAGAATGGTTTGAACGGGCACTCGAACCATTCCACAAACAATTTGTCAAATGGACCTCATCCTATGCAGGCGATCATCGACAAAATTCCTTTAGCCGACCTTGAAGATATCGGAATAAGAGTTGAACCTATTAACCCTAATATTAAGAATATAATGATTACTGGTGGAGCTGGTTTCCTGTAAGTTGCATTTTTTCATTAGTTCTAAGGTCAGTTAACTTATTTTCTACTTATAATAATTATAATTTTAAATAGTGGTAGTTTCTTGGTCAGAAAGATTGCCGTTTTATACCCAGAATTCAATATTGTAGTTGTAGATAAATTGGATTATTGTGGTAGCTTAAATAGTTTAAAGATTATTAAAGGTTTTCCCGGCTATACATTCGTAAAGGTAATTAAATTTACTTTCAAATATTTTAAATATTTTGCTTTGATCCAATGTTTAATGATTTGCTTATTTTATAAAAGGGTGATATAACCTCGTCAGATTTCATGTCTTTTATCCTGCGAGAAAAAAAAATTGACACTATTTTTCATCTTGCGGCTCAAACACATGTGGACAATTCTTTTGGGGATTCGTTCGAATTTACCAAAAATAATGTTATGGGAACTCATGTTATGTTGGAAGCTGCTAAAGTTCATGGAATTAAAAGGTTTATTCATGTTAGTACAGATGAAGTTTATGGTGAAGTAGCAAAAACTAGTGTAGGTTATTTCTATTAAAAATGTTTTTATTATTATGTTATATATTACTTTGTCTATTGGACTATGCACAAATCATTTGAATGTGATTGATAATATTGTAAATTATCATGCCACTCGCTAAACTATATTAATTTTAACAGCCCGATTGTCATGAAGAATCCATATTAGCTCCATCAAATCCATATTCTGCAACAAAAGCGGCTGCCGAATGTCTTGTACAAGCTTATCACAAGTCATTCGGCCTACCGATAATTATCACAAGAAGCAATAATATTTACGGTCCATATCAATATCCTGAAAAAATTTGTTCAAAATTCATTTGTAGTTTAATCCGTGGTGGAAAATGGTATATAATATATATATCTATATTTATATTTTTTTTTATTAAATTATTTTAAATTCTTAAATTTTAATTAATTACTTAATGATTGCGAATCAAAATTCATTATATGTTAGCTATATTCATGGAGATGGATCTAATTCTCGTAAATATCTATACGCAGGTGATGTTGCCGATGCGTTAGATATAATTTTACATAAGGGACAAGTTGGAGAAATCTATAATATTGGCTCCAATTTTGAAATTTCAAATCTTGAACTTGCTCGGACGTTAATTCGAAAATTCGGTTATAAAGAGGAAGAACATATTGAATTTGTACAAGATCGTGCATTCAACGACCGACGTTACGCTGTAGATTACCGCAAGTTGAGAGAGTTAGGATGGAAACCTCGTATGGGATGGGAAGAGGGCTTAAAAAAGACGAGTATGTATTTTATCATTAGTTATGTTACTTTTAATATTCATTTTTATTAAAGTTTTATTATTCTGTTCTATGTGAATTCATTTAAAAAAGTTGAGTGGTATAAAGAACACAGTGATATGTGGTGGGGTGATATTTCTTGTGCGTTGGTACCACACCCTTTGAAGGCATTGCCAGCAGTAGATTACTCATTATAATGAAACCAATTAGTTTATTCACAATCTGCATATTCATATAAATTTATTCTAATATTAGCATTTAATTTAATGTCATTTTGGTACATGGATTTATAGAGTTATAGACTACAATTGATGGACAATGGGATAGAATATTTGTAATTTTCGTAATTTATTTCTCAATTTTTGAACAAAAACATTTCAATCTCATTTCTAATCTCGGAAATTATATTTTTTTAAAAAGCCGATTTTTAGGCCTTTTCATTTCGAAGCTAGTAACTTTGTAAATATCTGAAATTATATTGTTCTTGCTAGACCATACTTTAATTTAATGTGGCGGCTGAAGCTGAGATTGGGGTTCTCTATTTAAATCTATAATATCTACTAAAATTTACTTAACTTTTTTATTAATAAAACTAACCCTAAACTCTAATCTAGTTCTAAAGAAAAAGGTAACAAAAAAAGCTTCAAAGTTTTTAAAATTTAATATCAAAATCTTAGCATTAGCCAATTTTAGCTAATATCATCAGCAAATTTTAAAGGACGAAAAATTTCGAAAAAATTTGCATAACGAAAAAATGGCGAAAAATTTCGAAATCTTCGAAAAAATAATCCGAAAACAATAAAATAAATTTAGGACTTATTTAGGCTATTAAATGCCAACATAAAAGTTTTCAAATTTATTTTATTTTTATTTTTAAAAACTGACATATCAACTAATAAAATCACGTGATCATGTCATGTTTGAGTTAGCAATTTAACTTCAAGCGCCTAAAAGTTGCATTCACCCGAAATTATTAACCAATGCATACGAGAACTAACTAATTAGGGCTAATTTCAATTAGAGGTTGGAACCGGTTTTAATAATTCGAGTTTATCACATGAATTTTGTGATATTTAAGAATTTAATCCAATTAAATTTTAATAAATTCTAAAATATCACAAAATTCACGTGATAAACTCGAATTATTTTTTTATTTTTAAGGTGAGGTCAAACCTCTAATCTTTATTAATTCTTAAGTATTATACATTTTCATGTGCTTACTTTCAAACTAATTTCGGATATAAGACTCAGACTACTTTATCCATGACCTAAACCTACTATAGTATTCTGTATCCCACTTACATCTTTACTTGGTTTTTGTGTTTTACAACTAATTAATTCTAGTTACCTAACTGTATTCCCCATGACTTACAATCAAACCTCAATAATTTTCAATTTGGTTCACTTGGGTTATCGGTCCCTAAAGCCTCTCAAATTGGTATGTCTATAGCAGAGATGAAATCCACATCTACAAACTTTCCACATCCATCTTTTTACTAGTTTTTACCCATATCTACAGGTCTTAATGTTTTTTTTTTGATATTTCATATGTTATGTATTTTTTCTATCTCTTATGTATTCTTTTTTATGGTATTCATTAAGAACTTGTTTCAAGATATATCTCTTTTAGCTATGGACTTTCGTTATATATATTGTGTAACTTCCAGCTTGGGGTATCTCAACTCTGGTTGGTGTAGTATTTATACTGGTGAATTCTTAATTCTTTTCGTTATAGACTTTCATATAAGTGCGACCAGAGTCTAATTTGGTTCCTTTAGTTGTACAAAGACAAGTTATGCTCTCTATGCTAAGTAACTTTCCTAAATTGGTTGTTCTGCAATGCCAGAGGTATTTTCAATTCCAGTTAAAATATGATCCTTTACTACAGCCTATAATTATATATCACTGCTTCTCTCACTACTCCAGTTTTAGTTACTGTCATATCACTCTTCCAAGCAAGTATTCCACAAGTTGGATGCAGGGATGTTGGTACTGCCTTCAGGTTATCCCAACTGGAGAACTAATTCGTGTAATCTTCATATAACCTAACCTTTTGTAGTACCACATTACACATAGTGCCTATACTCTATGACTTGGTCTCCTTCTAAAAACTTCTTATTTTAGTTTTGTACTGCATTTAGATTTTCCACAGGGCTTCGCATTCGATTTAATAGTCTTTATAGATTACAAAAGCAAATTTTATTAAAATTTTGCCTTTAGCTCAATTTAAACTATTGACCTAGTCTGTGGGGTTTGGAAGTTTAACCACTAAGCTATGGTACTCAAACCCATAAACTCAAATTATTAAACTGGTTTTAATCTTTAATTTCAATCAGCACCTAAAGTTGTGACTTCAAGCGGATTAGGATGCTGATTTCAAGCATTATATGTATAAATGAAATTACTATATATAAGACCAAAATGTGATAAAAATTTTAATATCAATTAAGATCTAATTTTACTTTTACAGTTTTGACAAAAGTTTCTCTGCATCCATAGATCTC